ATGATCCATGAGGTACATGTAATGTCGCATGAACCTCCACTAGGAAACAAGACGACCGAATGCTCGCTCAATAGCCATTCGCATTGAAGAATGGACTTTGTTGAATCGCTTTTCCGCTGGATCAGTTGATGAGCTAGGATACGGCGTTATGATTGCTTGCCGCAGAGGAAAAGCAGAATCTATGAATAGGTTCAAATGCAGAATATAAGCAAAGCTGTAGAACATCAAAAGTACAGGACTACTAACCAGCAAGAATGTATGTTCCATTAGGACACCATTGTTCAGGATCACTCAGCAGTCTGGTATTGAGCGCACTGTTATTAAAAGCGCGGGCGTCGTGAGTTCACCCTAGTAAACATATATTTGTGATGCAGTTGCAGTCAGCAACGTGTACGTTAAAGACATTAATATATCTCTTGTAGATTACTGTACCTGATTGACCCACGTTACTAAAAGTAAAGCGCCCATCTGCAGCACACACAGCAAGCAAGTTTATCGAGTGATGCAGTTTGCAGTCAAAGTACCGTTGACCTTGCTTCATTGGTTTGTGGATCACCACGAGCTTGCCATCCATAGCTCCAATCGCCCCTTGCAGCCTTGCTGAGGCATCTCGAGAGGTAGGTAAACCGGAGGGCAAAGAAAAGGCGTTGGAAGCTTCACAGGCTTCTTCCGGAGAGCGTGGCCACTTGATCTTGGAGCCATGGATGTCGCAAATAGCTTTTATTAATCGCACAGTAAAGTTGTGGTACAATCCTTGAGAAAAGCCAAATTGCGTCTCAAACACTCTGTATCCAATGTGAGTATTTGCAAAACGCCATAGTACGCAGCAGACTTGAATATAAACTAGTGTCATTCTTGATGACTCTGACACAAATTCCTGATGCACAGACAAAGTATTGACAAGCCATTCCAATGTGGATTTGCGCATGCGGTAATGATATTTATAGCTGCCAGGACCGTCGTCATCGCGAAGATTCGAGTGGGTCAATGTCCAATATTCCGTGCTGTGAATTCTTGGGATCTTGGCTGCTCGAAAATGATGCGGCGAACCAGCGTAAGCTGCGACGATGCTCGCATTGACCGAAGGAAGCATTCCTATAGCAGGTGCTACAAGTTGCGTCAAGAGCTTGATGAATGCTGCTCGACGACGTCTTTTTTCTTCAAGATGATTGTGCGTTGGGCAGCGAATAATGGCTGATGGTGGAATATTGTTCATTTTTATGATAAAAGCAGATAAAATAGATGAAAAATAGAGGGTGTATTTTTCTTTCGATACTTTTATTATTCATGAAAGTGACAGTTTCCTTTTATATCGATCCGAGCGAGCCACCACGGAGGCCTTTCCATCAGAGAAGCCACTACCAAAATTGGAGGCCTCCGAGAAGCCCTCTTATGGAAGGAGAACGGAAAATGTATTTTCTATTGCTACATTAGGGTATGGTGTTCTCTGTTTGGAGCGAAATAAGAGCAACCTTATTTTACCTGAAGATTGCAGCAGCCAAGAGCCTGTACTGGCAGAAGCACGGCAGCAGTGGCTTCAAACTGGAACACTGCTGGAAGGTTCTCCTGTATGCAGAAAAGTGGTGCAGCCAGACCAAAAGAAGTACAAGAAGAAGAAGAAGACCTGCTGCCGCCACTACCAATGGCAGTGATGGCGAGGAAAATGACGACGTTGACGATGACGACGATGGCCATAGCCGACCGATTGGCCGCAAACAGGCTAAGCGCCAGGCCACTGACAACAACCAGTGGGAGAAGATGCGTGCCGAGTCGTTGGCTATTGAGCGTGAGTAGCTCGCTCTCTCACAAGAACGATCTGCTGCTCTCGCTCAAATAGCTGACCAGCAGATCATAGTGATTCCCATGGACGGCATGGACGACCTCGCCTGTGCCTACTTCATGGCTATGAAGGCTCGGATTTTGGCCCGCATTGTTGGTGAGCAGCAACAACAACAACAACAACAGCAAGAAGAACAGAAAGTAGAAGAAAGCGATGAAGAAGAAGAGTAAGGAGAAGAATAAAGCGATGTCTTTTAAGGAAAAGAAGTTCAGATAGAGGTTAAGAAAACAAAAAACGAAAGGAAGAAAAGGAAAGAGGGAAAAGGAGAGAAAAGGGTGGGGATGGAAGTAGGGTTTATGTATCCTGTTCACCTTCCATTTGCCAAAGATGTTCCATGAGATCATGTCTCAAACGATCATGCGTGTTTACATCCCTAATTTCTTTGTGACGTCGGATGAAATCTTGCAAGATGGATGGATTTTCTCTTGCTTAATCAAAGACTTCTTACGAGTATCTCCATTCATGCAATGTTCGTGAGACATCCGGATCGTTTTCGACTATCATATTATGAAGAATCACACATGTCTCATGATTATGGTGGGTTCTTCCAGCTTCCACAATCGAGCCGGTTCCTTGACAATCTTGTACCGAGCTTGTAGAACACCAAAAGCTCGTTCAATGTCCTTTCGTGCGGCCTCTTGCATTGTTTGAAAAAGCTACATCGCGAATATTCAAATTAATAAGAGAAAGAAGCATGATCTCCACAATATTGTTCACTCATTTTCTTTCCGTATTGATGCTAATGTCTTCATTTTAAATAAATACAAATGATCGTAGATATGCTCCACAAAAAGCAGCCTTCAACTAGCCATTGTCCTTCTATAAAACTATCATTTATTATGAGTAAAAGAATAAGGCCATGCGGGTTCGAAAGGGGCTTGACCAGCGTCGCCCAGCGAGGGTAGATTCCATCGGCCAGATAGTACCCCATGTTGTACTCGTGGCTGTTGATGGAAACATCTACTAGTGGCGCACGTCCAGCAGCAAGATCGGCAAAGAGGTGCGATCGCTCAAGCACATTGATCTCATTCAATGTGCCGGGACACCCAAAAAAGACATGCCAGATCCACAAGTCATGAGTAGCAGCAGCTTCCAATACCACAGTGGGTGCCTTCTCCTTACCAGAATACTGCCTGTGCCATGTGGTGGGGCAGTTTTTCCATCTCCAATGCATACAGTCCACTGAGCCGAGCATGCCTGGAAAGCCACGCTTCTCATTGAAGGCTAAGATCTTGCAGATATCATCCTCGTTTGGCGTGCGCAAGTACTCGTCGCCAAAAGCAGCAATAACTGCAGCGCAGAACCGTTTGAGGCATTCGAGCGCCGTCGACTTGCCCGTGCGCACATACTCGTCGGTTGCATCTGCTGGGACACTATACGCGAGTTGTCTCATTGCTGAAGTAATTTTTTGATACGACGAGAGGCCGAGTTTGTGAGCGGCGTCGCGTTTCTGGACGAAATAATCGTCCTACTGCTTCACACCCTCCATCACGTGCAACAGCAGGTCTCGATCCATTCGATACCGGTTTCTGAACATATGCGCCGGATACACCGTATCTTTGGCAAAATAGTTTTTGAACAGATGTGCATCCATTGCGATGCGATCTCGGTGAGTCGTTTGACGGCCAGGGACAGATCCATGATGCTTTTTCTTTGTCACATACTCCTGTTGGATCATATGGTCGATCTCTTCTATACGACGTTTGAACACAGCGATGCGACGCTGCTCTTCTTCTTCTTCGTCAACAATAAGGTTCATGAGGCGTTTCAAGTTAGGCATATTTAATATAAGATGGGAGAGAGAAAGCAGGAAACAAACAAATACGCAGGAACGCAAAAAGACAATCACACAATTTAAGTCTGCTATTGCTAGTCAGCAATAATAGCTAGTCCGCTGTAAAAATTGACTCGCCAAAAAGAATAATTGGGATAGCGAGTGGTGAAAATAGAGGAAAATTTAGCTAGTCCACTGGACTTGCTCTAAGTGAACAAGGTAAGGAAAGGGTTATCGGTTGTGCTTGGGGTATAGCTTTAGTGGATATATGCCCATTCAGAATTACCGCTTCTTTCTCATTTTCTCTGTATATACTCATGCACCATCTTACACCATTCCAACATCAAACTTACGTGTGTAATACAACATCGTCTTCTACTTGCATATTCGATTCGTACTCACAACAACAACGACGCACCAATCTTCTTCTCCATTACCCAAACACAATCGTGTACAACCTGACGCTGATCCGCCTTTGGCTTACTAGCATACAGCCTGACGCGATTACTTTTATCCTTTTGCATATACTAACATTAACATCGCCGGTCTTGATGGATAAATGAGCTGTAGATAGCAGGAAGGATAAATGACGGGTTTCCTTCCTTTTGTGTTGATGTGGATTGGATGAAAATAAAGTATGATGACCGATATACTGTATAAGAAAGACAAAGAAGAAGGTTCTATAAGAGTTATACAAGTGCAAAGGATGGTTATTGTACACTGTAGGAAAATTCTTGTAAACACTAAGTAAAGTAACAAGAATTCTTGTGGATTCTTGTGAATCTTAAGTAGCGATAAAGCGGTCATGCGTTCACAAGAAAATCAAAGCGGTCACACTTTCACAAGAAAATCAAAGCGGTCACACGTTCACAAGAAAATCACAAAACGTTTTGTGGAATACCAAAGCGGTCACACGTTCACAAAACATTTTTGTGGAATATTCATTATATAGATTTTAAAAAAATAGCTTTATTCAATTACATGATACTAGCTAAGGTTTGTTATTTGATGGAATACTGGTCGAGCGTATACAGATGAAAACCACTCCTTTGAAGGCTGTTTAACACTTTATTGATTTTTTAACTTTTAATTTTTTTATATATTTAATTTTTAAGTTTTATTTTTAGATAATAAAGAATGATCAATATAATTAGGGGTGGTCAGAGAAAATCTTTGATTTTCGATGATGTGGGTAGCTGGTCATTGAGAAAGTAGTTGAAACTAGGGATCCGCACGGTTCGGTTTGGTTCGGTTTTTGAAGGGAACCGAACCGAATCGTCTAAAGCAAGAACCGAACTGACTAGAACCGATGAGAACCGTAGAACCGAAGGATCGAACCGAAGAACCGAACCCATCATGTATATAAAAAAGGCGAGATTCGGTATCTTCAAATGAAAGCTGATATGTGTGTTCAAATGTCGCGGTATACTTGAATACTGCAGTAAAAAAGAGTAGTTTATTATTATACATTGAACAGCGATCTCAAAATGAATAAGAGAAACAGAATGTAAACATTCTTATACGATGTGGGTCATTGCAAGGTTAAAAGATGAAAGCACAGTTTTTACAAAAAAAAGTGGAGCTTATAGTACTTACTTAGAGCGACTTAGTATTACTAGTACAATATGTTATTGTAACATTGGAGGAATTGAACCACAACCGCCAGTACATACAGCTGCTGTGTCTCTACGTGTGTATAGTGTATAGTGTCTCATAAAAGGCAAAGGGTGAATGGGTAAGATAATTCTGTTATGAGCCCCAGAATGCGCAATCTCAAACAGAATGCATAAACTTAATAGAACTGATCGAGAAGCCAAGATAAATCTAGTAAAGTAGTACGTCATAGAGAAAAATGCATTGTGGGTAGCAAAGTAGAGGAACAAGTAATGATGTGCGTCATGGGCGGAGAAAGCAAGCTGCTGTCAGAAAAAGTGTTGTTTCCTTCTCTTCTTTACTATTTTTCACCCCCTTCTGCTTTTGCAGGTTTTGTTAAGTTTTTCAATATAGCATGGCTTGCAAATACACTACTTCATGGTCTTTTCGGAATAACATTGTTCGTAACTTCCATTATAGCCTACTTTATATGGTGCCTGCCACCTAGAAACGTAAATTTTTGGACCAATTTTCAATGTTTTATTTCAACTTTTTTCACTTATACAACCCACTTTTTTGACTTCACAAAATGATAGAGAGAGGCTCAAAGAATATTTCTATGAAACGTTTTTGTATACATACAAGCAAAAAAAATGAGAAATAAAGTGTTGAAGTTGGTGTCGATTTCAAAATTTAGCAGAGGATTTTGTCAGAATGTCCACCCTACTATACACTATAGTATATGACATTGAATCAGCGATTTCCATATTAAGAAGGTAGTGTAACATTAGTGGTAAGCATTGTTGCAATATATACCTCAGCCTTCCAATCAACATTGACTGTAATGGTGCCAGGTAAATTATAAGTAGGTTGACAGTTTTATTGTTCCTTCTTTTTCCAAAACATTGTATACAATGGGGAGACTCAACAAGTACCAGAAGAACCTTAAAATTGTGCAAGAGTCAAAGAACACAATCAAGTAAATTTCTTGTGCGTTCAAAGAGAACTATCAGCTTCTAATAATCATGTAAGAAGAATCATGCGAGAGTAGTTTGTTTATACAAGTCATCCTCTGAGAAAGGACTCACTGGATGAAAAGCAGAAAAAATATAAGTCCTACTAGCAAATTTTCGATGAATAATATATCACTTAACTAAAAATGGAAATTTATAAAGGCGGAATCTTAAATTTTTGAAATGTCCACTTGTTGTTTCTAGGTGGCGGGCACCATACTAATTACCAAAATCGCTGATTGCAATCTTCTGCCTCTCGGTTCTGCGGTTCTAAGTATACAGAACTGGTTCAGTTCCGGTTCGGTTCCGGTTCTACGGTTCTGATACCGATCCCTAGTCGAAACCCTAGAATAACGGTAGTTATTCTAAACACTTACCTACAAGTGTCTCATGAACAGTGTTCTTTCTCTCTCTATATATATCACATACACTCTCGCTATATATATACATATATGTGTGTGTGTTTATACAATAATCAACTTTCTGATACTTTAACTTACACTAGGTCAAAAAAGTGTCCCAATGATTGGTACATTTGGATATTTTCTCTTTTTCCTCTTGATATACTGAACCAATAAATGTGAAACTTTGTATATTAAATGGTGTGAATATGCACAAGTGGACTTCAAAATAATATAATAATGGGCGGAGTATTAAAGGAGTAGGAGCTATTTTCTTTAAAACTATCATTGGGACACTTTTTTGACACTTTCAAAAATCTTCATGTTTTATTAAGGTACAATTAATTTTTAGTATGATGTCCATAATCCTTTTGCTTCTATAACTTGCCGCACTCGATTAGGCATAGAGTTAATGTATTTTTGGCACTCTGTTGCATCAATGCTATACCATCATTTACCAATTCTCTGGAACAGTTCATCTCTATTGGATGCTGGGGAAGGATCAGGGGTCGCAATTGGATGGGATGGGTCGGGTCAAGAAAACACTGACCTGATCCGACCCATTCAACCCGACAGGTCAAAACTCAGGTTGACAGGTTGGCAATGATTTCAACGATTTCGCAAAGATTTCAACGATTTGTAACCAAAAGGAAACAAAATGACGAGTTTAAGAAGAAAATATATACTAAAAGTAAAATAAATAAGCTCAATAGTTTTATTTATTGATTGGTTTTTTGATAAATCGTCTATACTAGCATTGGCGTTAACTGGCCAGAACCCAGAAACTTAATGGGCAGATTGGGATGGAGACGGAGAGAATTTGAAGATTATAAAAAAAAAGGGAAGGCAATAAAGTGAGCAGCAAAAAAATCAGTACTGTATTGCATAGTCAGTGAGACGGGCTAAATGGTGTGTTTTGCAATAAGTGGGCGATGGGCGATCATATTCCTGTGCATTTATAGTGGATGAAACAAAAGAAAAGTTGTCGTGTGTGAGATTGCGGTATTGACAACAAATGCCGTACTAAATAAAAGTAGTGGTACTGAGCAAGGACGGGGCAGTGACGAAAAAGGACAGGTGTAAAGAAAAGAGAAGTGGTGCTGCAGCAGCGACAAAAAAGGATGCGGTAAAAAAAACAGTGACAAAAAGGCTGCAGATAAGAAAGCAGTGGTGCTGTATTTGTACCAAGGATGAAGTATTGAACGCAATGACGAAAAGATCGAGCTATAATAATGATTGCTGCCTAACGGTAGTCAAACGTTGTGTTTAGTCACTGTAGACAAGTTTGATTCGGACGATCGTAAAATTAAAAGGGAAACGTACCTGTACCGTCCAGGAGTGTGGAGAAAATGACGTATTTGCTCCAAAAACATCTAGTTACATCAGCATTAAAATGTTTTTGGAAAATTGTAAAAGAAGCTTTATTTATGCTACATAATAGATCAACTAAAGCTTCAAGTATATGCGTCCAAAGCATGGCCAAACTGGGCATGATGTCCGTATACCCAAAAGCAAAAGATGTACCGTTTTCTAAGTAGTAGTTATATGTTCTATTCTATGCAACGTAGACAGCGATAAAAAAAAAGATATAAATATATACGAGTTTTCCGTTTTCTTGCAAAGTAATCTTTATTTTCTCAGCTATTCTTTTTGATACCTAACAGCCTTCGTACCTAGCACATACACCATCATGGAGTTCACCCGTTCTGACAGCAATTTGACCTCTATGTCCTTGGATCCCACTGAATCGGAAGCCGGCGACTTTCACGAAACAACCACAAGCGAGACAGAACACAGTGCAGCAATGGTTAGCCAAAGCAGTATGGCACGCGGTTCAGACGAGCCATGGATTTACAAATACAAGGTTGTGGATGCTACAAAAGACGAGAGGAATCGCATTATCAAGATTACTTGTTCAAGGTGCCAAAAGTCATATGTTGGTTCATCTACCGGTAACATTATCCGTCACCTGCAAAATAGACACAGCATTACGAAGGAGAAGTGCGAGCAAGGCAGCGTGGCAGTTGTTGGGCCAATGGACAGTTTCGCTCGTGGTGGTATGTCTATCCAAGCAACGACCGTTACTCGAGAAGTATGGCGGGAGCAACAAGCACGTTTCATCATCAGCACAAAGTCTGGATACACGATGGTGGAAAATGAAAAATTTCGCAAGTTTATCCAGCTCACTCAGGCAGCACCGTCGTTTGATGTTGTCGCGCCGATTACTGCCAATACCATCAAGAGCGACATCACCTAGTTATATCGGGTCGAGAAGGCGGGCATCATGTCCTATTTGCAAGCGCAACAATATCTCTCTTTTTCCGTGGACGCCTGGACCTCAGAGTGGGGGTATGATTTCCTTGGTATTACCGCTCATTTCATTGACAAGTACTGGGTGCAGCGGGAGGTTTTAGTCAGTCTCCAGCTTCCAGATGAACGCCATTCCAGAGAAGCTCTTGCTGATCATTTCCTAAAAGTGCTCGACGATTTCGACATTACTCATCTCCTGTTTACCATTACCGCCAACAATGCTTCCGACAACCTGTCCATGGCTAAAGAGCTAGAAAGGCGTGCTGAGACAAGAGGGGAGAGTCGTCGCGCATTCCATTTCCAGGCAGCCAAACACCTTATCCCGTGTATTGGTCACGACGTCAATTTGGTTGCGCAAGTACTGATCAAAGATGGGTTGCGTTCACAGCCGTTGCTCGATAATGCTGTTGAATCAGATATTGCAGCCGATCAAGATATTAGCAACGTGGTGTTTAAGTTACGAGTAGGAATAAAGAAAATCAGGTAGGGTATAAATCACTGGCATAAATGGTCAAGCCCGCTTACACAAATATTAACTTAATTTTACCATGTTATAAGGATGTTCACTACCAAGTACCGAAAACAATAGCATGAATATTGTTCTATGAAGTATGGCGAGCAGCTCGAGCTACAATTGGATGTGTGCACACGATGGAACTCCACTTATGATATGCTGGTACGGGCATTGAGGGTGAAGGACGCGTATAATGCAACCTGCGACTTCTTTAGCGAGTAGTCAATATATCAGTTGGATCCCCAAGACGAGCCATACATGAAAAAGGACATAGTATTGCTGGATAGTCTAAAAATTATGACGGAAGAGCTATCAACATCACAGTAAGTTATTACGGAAAATATAACACGCTGTAATAGCATCACATACAGCAATGTATTAAGCAACATGGTTCATCAATAGTTACCCGTCTATCAACAAAGTAATCTTCGCATACAACGTGCTCATTGACGATCTCGAAGACTTCTAAGACGACACGTCAAATCCGCAAATCCTGCGTAACGCAGCAAGACAGGCCCAAGCAAAACTTGAAATGGATTATGCAAGAACCGATTCATCCACCGTATATGCCGTCGCCACAGCAATGGACCCATGCCTAAAGTATGCTTACTGGGATGAACGGGAATGGGAGCCAGAATTTAAAGAGACAGCTAGAATGAGTGTCGAAGCAGAATGGAGCACGTTCAAGACTGTGAATGGCACCACTGACCGTGAGGCTCGAGCACTGTCACCTGAGGAGATACGTCGCAATCGCTACCGTCCCAAGAGGCAAATAATCCAAGATGAGTTGACAGCATATGTAAGCGAGCCACAGACAGCACTTGCCGAAGGTGACGATAATAGACGACCAGTAAGCTACGAATTGGAGTACTGGCAACGCACAAGCACAACGTACGTGCAGTTAGCAAAAATGGCACACAAGTTTCTCGCCATCCCTGCAACGTCAACATCTTGCGAGCGCTTGTTTTCGGATGTCAAAGGATTCGTGCCATCTGAACGAAGCAGATTATTGCCGGAAGCATTACAAGAAAGCTTTTTGGTAAAGGCTTGGTCAAAAATAACAACTGACTAAAAAAATTTCCACCACCTTCATCCCTTTTTTTTTTCTCACTTTCCGATCTTTGTCGTTCCTATTTGATTTGTCTCTTTTTCACTCCTCTTTCCTTTCATTCATTTTTTTTGCTCCTATTGCTAAACTGCTCACTTACTTTTTACACTTCTTCCTGTTTCCTTTTTTAACGGCCTTCCCTATTTTGTTCTTTTTTTTACTCGAAAGTCTAAGTTATCTTTGGTCTTCAGGTATCCTTATTTATTAAATCCTATATACTTTGCACCGTTAGGCCTTAGCGCTTCCCCTTATCTTCATACTCTGCCCTTCATATAAAATAAACAGTATTCGTATATGTCATCATAATATTCTTTTTTCCCTTTCGTATATCTTGCTATACACCTGAATAAAGGAACCGTTGGATAACTAGTACTGTCCCAAATCTAAACTATATACACTCGGGTCACAACGGGTCAACGGGTCGGGTCAAGGGTTGGACGGGTCGACCCATAGGTCAGAAAAGCAGCAACCCGACCCGTTGACCCGTCCTTGACCCGTGGGTCAGATTGCGACCCCTAGGTAGGATACTTATTTATAAGCATCCTTTTCAATGTAGACCATATGTTTTCAATTGGATTGAGATCAGGAGACTGTGCAGGCCACTTCATAACTTAGAATGCTTGCTGAGATAGCTAGTCCATAACAGCTTTTGACTTGTGTTTGGGATCATTATCTTACACAAAGATGGTCTCATCCTTATTCATATCATAGTGGTGTAAGGATTCCATCAGGTCAGACTCCAGAATGGCAAGGTAATCGTTCTTGTCCATATTCTTGTCACCAATGTCGCATATATAGCCAACACCATCCCAGGAAAAGCAGCTCCAGACCATGATTCTTCCTCCATCATTCTTTACTGTCTGTCTAACATGGTTTCTTGTCAGCCTTATATTTGGATCGCACCATACATAAACGACACCATCACTTCCAAACGATTGATTCTTGTTTCGTCAAACCAGACCACCTTTTTCCAATCTTCAATAGTCTAGTGCTGATGCTCTTTGGCCCACTTAAGTCGTTCCTTTCTGTTTTTCTCACTAATGGCTGGCTTCTTTGGTTTCTTGAAAGCCTTAAGGCCACTTTTACGTAGTACATTTCGAACTGTTTCTGATGTGCTCTTAGGGCCGCTGAAAATTCGCGTTGAGAAATTTCGGGTAAATAGTTTACCCGACTGAAAACGCGAATATTTTCTGGTCAGCTTCGGGACAATGTTCATCCGTACATATGCATATCAACAAGCATCATTTTTTTCGTAGTATCAGTATATGCCATTGTTTATGAATATATGAAAACCAATAAAAAAATAAATAAAGCAGCTAGTAGCTATATTATATCATTTGCATCAAGTATACTAACAGCTATTACTATTACTTTATGACTGTCAGTTCATATCTAGCTTTTAGATCGATATGTGATCATACACAGCATGCTACGGAATATGGAAACATAAAAATGATCCCCACTATCTGCAAATAATATGCACTCACCTTACAGTTATTATTAAGGTTGCATAAGTTGATGATCGGATAATATATTATAGTTTGAAAAATGATGAAGAAATGGTGGAATAAACATTAAAGAAATTTGATAAAACAAGAAGGGAGAAAAAAAGTAAAGAGAGATCTAATGGAAAAAAAACTATAGAGAAAAAGATAGAGAGAGAAGGGATAAAACCTAATAACAATGGTTTGTATAAATAAGTACGTAATGGATCAACACATGTAACTCGTAACTTACAAAAGCTTATACATGGCGTGTGTATTGATCTGTTTCAGAATATGTCGTTGGAATCGTGCGTCTGCGACGTTCTCTAATAACACGCGTCAAATAGGTGTCGACGGTGTTGTTTGTTCAGCTACTTAAATTGTTCATTCAGATTCGCAGGAATGAGATAACGATACATATTTGTTTCGTCTTCATACTCGTCGTCTAACTGCTGCATGCGGAGGGCCAGCTCACGACGCTGCTGTCGGTTTCTCTGCATCTGTAGCTCTCGTCGTAAAAGATCGGCTTCTCTATCGACAATAACACTGCTGGCATTCTCGTTATTTGAAGTTGTTGTTAGCGATACAGGGTCGTCATCTTCATGTTGATCGTAAAACTGTCCACATCGCCGACGCTGGCATTATCGCTTATTTCGATTATGCTCGATGTTGTATTAGTAGATATAGTGGGAGTAATAGCAGAGGTGGCAGTTGTAGTGGCGAAAGTGATGGAAGCGGGAGCAGGAACGTGTCCACTCAGCAATCGCATATTGGAAAAAACATTTTCATACCACTGTTTATATGAAAATACTTCAGTATACCTAGTGTTCATTAAGTGACTTTAGCTCCATATTGCAGACTGGTTCTTAACTTACTGGTCTGATGCGAATAAATGGCTGGGTCGATTGTCGATGAACAAGAACACTGGAAGCTGGTATTTCACCATGACCAGAGCGTTTTACAAGATGCTTGCAAATGAGGAATCGGCTAGTAAGATAGGCTTTGCAGCCACAAGTCCATGTATCTACTGTTGGCTGATACAGCGCATTTGCATTGCTGTTTTCTGGCAGACGATAAGCCTTGTTCCAGTGGTTGACAAAGGCTTGTTGCCATCTTGTAGCTTGCTGGAACTGGACGGTGTCGCGATTATACTTCACTCGCAAATCAGGAAAATGTTTTTCAATAATCACAAAACGAGCAAGTCCAAACGAGCACGGTTAAACCTGTATAGGTGGTTGCGCTTTAAAACCTTCCAGTGGGCTTCAATCAACATTGTGGTTTTGCCTCCTGGGATACAGTCAGGAATAGCAGATCGTGCCCACTGGTTCCAAGCTGTAGGTTTGTACCAAAATGTGTATAGGTAGACCCATGCGTCGATATATCCATTCTTGTGACAATAATTATAAATTTCCCTGGCCGCATATTGGTGGATTTCGAGGGCTGTGCGTCGGTGTGTGCCTACGTGAAAAGGTAATATTAGTATCACTACCATTAGAATATGACCGACAAGGACTGTTGCTAATATATTGCATAAATCAGCTCTATGAAACGCGTTTACCATCGGGAATCAGTGGATGCATATGATAATGATCTGTCATTTTGTCAATTATTTCTTTCCGTTGTTCTGCCGGGCAGATTACACCTGTGCGACCACCGATGGATGGCGTCCAGGTTATGTCGACGAAAGGAAAATCAGTGTTTGCTTGTACATTATTATATGGTGGCGGGCGGCGGCTTTTTGTCTCGCTTAATTTGCGATCAACAGATCTTTTCAAATGCCAAAGACAGAGACGCAATTGCGACAGACCAAACACTGTCTCTATGCCATTCATTTGGGCCTGATCCTTGTCCGAAAACATAAACATCGGATTGAACCCACGCTCCCTCAATACACGGAAAAAGGATATCAAAGTGTTGGTTTTGATATTGGGTGGGGCATCATCAAATGCCGTATAAAGAAGATAGGCGATAGGGAATCCTACGCCATTCACATTGGCAATAATGCTGTACAACTCTGAGCCAGCACGATTTGTCCTCCAGGTCGAATCAATGCAGTACTCGTCGATCAGCTCACTTCTGACCAACAAACCAAAAAACGGAGTGACAAATCCCAAGGCAGCACATACAGATGCATCTCTGCTCCAAAACACCTAGCGTTTATTTCAACTAATTCAGATTCTACTTCTATTTGTGATCTATTACTACCTACTGCTAGCTTCCAGAGAAAAGACTAGGTCAAGGTCAGTATCTATTGATATAATCACCTACCTCATAAAAGCCTTGTACATTATACCATTGTAGGAGTAGTCGCACTGACAGTAACTGATCATCATGCAGACGATACAGGTTCTTGAACGATTCTGCCCACCAGTAATACACCTGCATAGGCGTAACGTTGGATTCAGGAAAACGTCGGATAACGCGCCGGTACAATTCATTGGCACCTGTTTCTGTAGCTTCCCGAGCGATGTGTTGCTTTACTTCGTCAGGAACCAAATTGCGCTCTCGTCGACGTACACTGCCATCATTGTGATTAACAGGCACATGGTCTTGATGCCGGATTGCAAGTTCGACATAGCCTTGCTGCCTAACGATCGTTCCTTTTACGCGTCCGCCGCAATCAAACGTTGGCATTCGTACAGTGATCCTCTGGCGTTGCGCGGCGAGAACGGTGTTCTGATAGACTTGGGAGCGCGAGCAGTAGGCAGTGAATGATACCTTAAATGCTTGCTCAGGGGCCCCCTCGTTCTTCAGCATATATCGATGCCCATCGCAAATGGTCACCTCATCCAAAATTCGCTTGATCAATTGATCATTCGATATCGATTCCATGTACGGTTCAACCATTACATAACAATAGAAATGATCATTCTGCATACCATGTAGTAAATGATCAAGAATTTAGTGGAAAAAATTCAAAATACATATATGTACTTACTGTATCATCTGCAGCAGGATAATGATCATTTAAAGAGTCCAACATCACCATGTCATCCAACGGAACAATCTCGGGTGGAGTGTCTCTAGTACGACAGGCCACATAGGTTCTATACGGTCTAGTATTACCGCTGAAATCCATTCCAGGCTTCTCACTGCGGCATCTCTTGCAAAGATAGTTGTTGTTGTAGTCAAAATTACCAGCACTAAGTGCTTCAGTAACAGTTGGTAAAGTAGAGTTCGGTTGGTTACGATGTTCAGAGTTCATTCTGCAATTAATAAAAAAAAGAGTTGGAGAAAGAGCAGGGAAGAGGAAGAAAACACCTAAGCCCCTTCTTTCCAGGGTCAAAAAAATTCAGACTCCATACGCTCTTTCGCATTTGTTAACTATCTAATGATGGTTCTAGAGCAACTACTTTTCTTTTACTGTACACATTATCTTAATGTTATCTCATACTTTTTGTCAGCTAAATTTTTATTCCTATATGACCATATAATAGTATGAAAAAAGTGATGTTTGTAGGTATACATAGGTGGATGTATCCGGTTGAATATTTATCCCAGTTTGATAATAGGTGCTCGCGTTTTCAGTCGGGTAAATTATTTACCCGAAATTCCTCATCGCGAATTTTCAGCAGCTCCTATGAAAGCGCTGTTTCTGGAGTTACTGTGGTGCCATAGTACTGTTGAATATATTTAGAGCCTTGGGGAGCATTCTTGAGGTTACCAGACTTGAACTCTCTAGCCAAAAGTTTCCTTATATGCTGTCCCAGCTTTGAAGGTCTACCATTCTTGGTGGTTCCTGATACAGTAACAACGTTTTTTCGAATTCGTTGGATAGAGCTTTTGCCTATACCCGTTGCTTTAGCAATTTGACGTATAGATAGCTTCTTCTGTAGGGCCTTGGACAACAGACTGGTGCTGGACAGCTGAAAGAGGTTTCATCTAATGATATCTCATAAGGTTCTGTACTATAACTTCACCAAAAGTAGAGTAAATAATATGTAACTTACATTAAATGAAGCAGAAAAGGTGAAAGAGAAAGGATCAAAACATAAAAAGTGGAGTGTCCTTGTTAAAAATCTTTTTTGTGGCTTGAAATTAATACTCCTGATAAAGTGTCAAAAAAGTGTCCCAATGATAGCTTTATACCAAATGGCTCATGCTCCTTTAATACTCCGCCCCTCAGTTTTGTTTTCTAAAGTCCGCTTGCATACATGCCCAACATTTAGTATACAAAGTTTCACACTGATTGGTCCACTATACAGTGCTTCCAAAAAGCATTGTCGCAGCCAATCAAAATTGATGTCGCTGGCAAGTCAAAATCAATGACGCCGACTAATCAAAATCAATTTCGCATTTTTAGAAATGGAAGTCGTATTTTTAGAAACGATGCTGCTTTGTTTGAAATGATGTCGTGTCACTATGATTTCTTGGTAGTTGAAAAAAAAAATATAAACCGACCTTCTTCATCTGTGTGATTTTTTTTTTCAAAACTTTACATTCTAAGATGAGTACCGTATTTTTATTTGAAGATGGACATGGAAATGTCGTTGATGAGAATGGCGGCCCTAAGCCCATGGAGTACATTGTCGATCAGAAGGAGTTTGTTGTTGAGACAATTGCCACTCACACTGATTACTTGAAAAATGCAGCTTCCAGCAAGTCTTCTTCGGCTTGTCCAATGCGAATAGAAAAGCCAAGAGATGAAGATATTTGTATGAAGGAAGCCAACATGAAACGTGATTATGTGCGTTATACCGTCCAGGATAAGGTTAGATTTTTCGACCTGAAGATTGAAAAGTGTATGAGTGCATCAGCTGCAGCGAAGCAGTTGGGAATTCACATTCGAACTGCTCAGAGATGGGTTAGCCAGTATAGTTTATGCCCTGATAGCATTTTTGATAATTGTAAACAAGCTGGTCGCAAGTGTATCTTGTCCAAAGACCATAAAACGGCAATTATCAACTTCATTGATGCTAATCCCTCGGCTGTTGTTGTTGAAGTGACAGAACATTTATTGAAGCAATTCAGTGATCTTAAAGTTTCACGCAGCACCATTTATAACTTTATGAGGAATGAATGCAATCTTTCGTTGAAAAAAGCAGATTTCCATTCTATTGAAAGAAACAGTTCAGCAAAGATTGAGGAGCGGCACAATTGGGTTTGTAAGTGGGAAAACACAGACATGGACTTCCTCACGAATTGCGTGTTTCTAGACGAATCTGCTTTTGATATCAATATGAAACGCTCAAGAGCTTGGTCCAGAAAAGGTACTCGTGCTATTGTTACTCGACCTACAACGAGAGCAAACACAACATCTATATTGGGCGCAATCTCTGCAGCAGGTTTGATCACAGTGGGCGTAAAAAAGCTGAGACCTGCAAAAAAGAGAAAGGCTGATGGATATATAAGCTCAGGAACTGTAACAGGATACTACATTAGTTTCTTAAAAACGACTCTCGATGAAATGGACAAATATCCACATATGAAAGGTCACTATATAGTCATGGATAATGCACCCATTCACACGCATGACAACATAAAGAAGTATATTGAGTATCGAGGATATAAATGTGTGTATCTTCCTACTTACTCTCCTGAACTAAACCCAATAGAACAATTCTGGGCAGTGGCAAAGAGTAAGGTTAAGCGTCATAGGTTTTTACAGGAGGACACATTATCAAAAAGAATCACGGAAGCCTGCAACAGTGTGGAGAAAAGTCACTTCAGAGGTTTTGTTTCGCATTCTTATAAATGCTGGAATAAATGTCGAAACAAAGTGCCCATGTAAATGGCTGCTGACAATTTCATCAAAGTCCAACAATTCAGCCATAAGAACGAGGTAAGAAATAACCAGACCAACAATCCTGAGGGGCAGTGGAAGAGTGAGATTAGCGTGAAAGGTGATTTTTTAATGCAAATATATCACTACTGTATCACTAAGCACAAACAAGAGAGAACGATTATAATACTGTATTTCATTACGAAAGGAATGAATGTGATATACTCGCAACCTCTCTGACAAACAATACAAAAAACTGCAAGACGATTGTGGATAAAAAGTGTGGATAACAACATTTTATTCGTAAACGAAAGAGATAATCAATAATATCGCCATCAACGAAAAGGGTAGATGAGCATACTAATAACGAGATGTTGTGCCAGCATTCCTATTGTGAGATTTGTCAATTATTTGATACAGAGTAGAGATGGGCAGGCGAGGTGAGGGTGATATTAACGATTTGGATGGGGTCGTACTGTTGTTCCAAAACGAGGAGCTGACACGCGCCAGTGTACACAGATTCTTCTTGGTCGTTAATGCATCAAGGGTATCTAGGGAGCTAGGGAAGACAAATGTCGCCACTTCCACCATAATATACAAGTTTTCATGCTGCCTGTGCACCATGAAAAACGATACTCGGAAGCCTAACAATTGGCGGTCAGTTTCTTTTCTCCTTTTTTTTTTTTTTTGTTGTTGTTGGCGCATACCACTGACTTAGAAGGCAAAGCAGCTGTCCTGACTGTAACCATCGATAGTGTCTTTGGATAATGTTGCTAGGCGAAGGGTGTCTATGCAAAGTGTGTGCTTGTTTGTTGAAGAGTTGCCTGGCTTCACCTCGCCAAAGCCCAAAGGGCGACCATACTTTGATTGGATGATGGTAGAGATGACGGCGTCAGGGCAGATATTGAACACTTCTTCATTTTTGTTTGCCCAGCGCAAGACGACGTTTTGTTGAGGGTTCGAGAGAAGAGATGCTAATACAGGATCAAAGGAAGTTGATTGCAATTCAGTTTCTCCAAGGGAATCCAAATCAACAATTTCTCGCGTTGGGAGTTTGACTACACTATGTTGAAAGGGTGGGTAGAGAGAAAGTCAGCATAGTTCCATGTTTTTCATTTCTTTTTATCCTTCTCTCCCAAATCTATGTAATACTTACAGATTTGCAATACCACGCACCACAGCTGCTTTGGTAGGTCCCATAGTCTTGGCCATGATGAGGAGATCCACTTGGGCATCAATGGTCAATTTCTTCCCAGTTTGGATATCGTCCACAATGACTGCCAAATCAGAAATCTCTTGCGTTGAGAAGTCCGCCTCCAAATTGTCCATAAATCAAGTGATAGTGGCATAGCAAAGAGAATCGATGAATTGGCATCCAAAAACTTTCACTTTCGAGTCGCTACGTTGATTGGGGGCTAGGAAGAGGACGTTGGACAGGGCAAGTACTTCTTGAAGGTCAGATTCTGCTTGAAACGAATTCTTTTCCACTACCTGGTCTTTGATCTTGTGCTGGTATCGTTTAAACAGATTCGTCACATTGGTGCCATTAAACATCCATTCATCATCGTTGTTGCTGTCCTCGTTGGTAGTGGTGTTGTACTGGTTTGCTGAGGGAAAAGGTGGAGTAGAGAGATTATCTTGTACCGAAGTTATACTATCAGGTTCTACGGCTGCAGATGTAGAAATTCGTGCGGTTTGCTCAGTTGTTGCTGGTAAATCTTGATCAGTACTTGTGTCAATAGACTCCAGGAGATTTTGGGGAATCGGTCGTGAGCAACTTGTTGATAACTTGAGAGCATGTGGCTTCTGTAGTACACAAGGCAGCTTTACGCTTCATTTCTTTCCAAAAGTCTATTGCGTCCGTTGATTTTGTCCAGGTTGCTAATTCTTGGAGCAGACGTTCTTTGTGATCAGTGGGAGCATACTTCGTCAAGATATTCTTGTAGCGCGTGATCGCATACATTCGATCTGTCATAGAAAAATTGGCAACAAAAGTTTTCAACGACAAATCGTCAATGTTGTTAAGGCACTATTGTGCATCATTAGGAGTGCGCTTGTGCTTTTTTCCGGTAGCCATGTTCACCAAAAAGTTACAAGTTGAAAAAGGAAGCCCCTAATTTTTTTAAGCACTCTTGGAGGAAGATATTCCGATCTGATTGGCTGATTTGCTTGTGACTTTTTTGTTTCCCTCTTTATTTTCCTTCTCTTTTCGTCCTCTTTATTTTCCTTTGGTGAACGTCCATGATACCAATCCACGCGGCTGATGGCTATTGCCGATCAGCCCATGGACATGGGTTCTTATTTTGAAGAGATGCTAGCGGCATGTAGCCATTTCTTGGTGAAAGTCCTAGACACCAATTCACGCAGCTGATGGCAATTGTCGATTAGTTCATGAACATGGGCTCTCTTTGTATGATAAGATGCACGCGGCCAGTAGCCAAGTTACGAAAACAGCTATCATTACCATGGTATGTATATTGGTATTACATTGTCCTCACCGTTCTTTTTTTTTCTTTTGGTCATCCTAGATACCAATCTGTCGTCGATTGCGTCACACATTCAAGAACCTCGTACGATGGCGATATTATTGATTATCTCTTTCGTTTACGAATAAAATGTTGTTATCCACACTTTTTATCCACAATCGTCTTGCAGTTTTTTGTATTGTTTGTCAGAGAGGTTGCGAGTATATCACATTCATTCCTTTCGTAATGAAATACAGTATTATAATCGTTCTCTCTTGTTTGTGCTTAGTGATACAGTAGTGATATATTTGCATTAAAAAATCACCTTTCACGCTAATCTCACTCTTCCACTGCCCCTCAGGATTGTTGGTCTGGTTATTTCTTACCTCGTTCTTATGGCTGAATTGTTGGACTTTGATGAAATTGTCAGCAGCCATTTACATGGGCACTTTGTTTCGACATTTATTCCAGCATTTATAAGAATGCGAAACAAAACCTCTGAAGTGACTTTTCTCCACACTGTTGCAGGCTTCCGTGATTCTTTTTGATAATGTGTCCTCCTGTAAAAACCTATGACGCTTAACCTTACTCTTTGCCACTGCCCAGAATTGTTCTATTGGGTTTAGTTCAGGAGAGTAAGTAGGAAGATACACACATTTATATCCTCGATACTCAATATACTTCTTTATGTTGTCATGCGTGTGAATGGGTGCATTATCCATGACTATATAGTGACCTTTCATATGTGGATATTTGTCCATTTCATCGAGAGTCGTTTTTAAGAAACTAATGTAGTATCCTGTTACAGTTCCTGAGCTTATATATCCATCAGCCTTTCTCTTTTTTGCAGGTCTCAGCTTTTTTACGCCCACTGTGATCAAACCTGCTGCAGAGATTGCGCCCAATATAGATGTTGTGTTTGCTCTCGTTGTAGGTCGAGTAACAATAGCACGAGTACCTTTTCTGGACCAAGCTCTTGAGCGTTTCATATTGATATCAAAAGCAGATTCGTCTAGAAACACGCAATTCGTGAGGAAGTCCATGTCTGTGTTTTCCCACTTACAAACCCAATTGTGCCGCTCCTCAATCTTTGCTGAACTGTTTCTTTCAATAGAATGGAAATCTGCTTTTTTCAACGAAAGATTGCATTCATTCCTCATAAAGTTATAAATGGTGCTGCGTGAAACTTTAAGATCACTGAATTGCTTCAATAAATGTTCTGTCACTTCAACAACAACAGCCGAGGGATTAGCATCAATGAAGTTGATAATTGCCGTTTTATGGTCTTTGGACAAGATACACTTGCGACCAGCTTGTTTACAATTATCAAAAATGCTATCAGGGCATAAACTATACTGGCTAACCCATCTCTGAGCAGTTCGAATGTGAATTCCCAACTGCTTCGCTGCAGCTGATGCACTCATACACTTTTCAATCTTCAGGTCGAAAAATCTAACCTTATCCTGGACGGTATAACGCACATAATCACGTTTCATGTTGGCTTCCTTCATACAAATATCTTCATCTCTTGGCTTTTCTATTCGCATTGGACAAGCCGAAGAAGACTTGCTGGAAGCTGCATTTTTCAAGTAATCAGTGTGAGTGGCAATTGTCTCAACAACAAACTCCTTCTGATCGACAATGTACTCCATGGGCTTAGGGCCGCCATTCTCATCAACGACATTTCCATGTCCATCTTCAAATAAAAATACGGTACTCATCTTAGAATGTAAAGTTTTGAAAAAAAAATCACACAGATGAAGAAGGTCGGTTTATATTTTTTTTTTCAACTACCAAGAAATCATAGTGACACGACATCATTTCAAACAAAGCAGCATCGTTTCTAAAAATACGACTTCCATTTCTAAAAATGCGAAATTGATTTTGATTGGTCGGCGTCATTGATTTTGACTTGCCAGCGACATCAATTTTGATTGGCTGCAACAATGCTTTTTGGAAGCCCTGTATCTATTATTAAAATGAATCGGTACTTACAACTTACAACTCCGCAGTAACTCTAAAAAAGAAAATCTATGAGCCAGCCACCAGCTTTTTTTAATGTGTTCCTGAATGCTATTCAGCCTCCACCTTTCTTATTCTCAAATCAAAGAGTTTTTTCTGTTAAAATGAGTTCCTCAGAGGTGTGTCTTTTAAGCTGAAAATATAACCGTCTGCTTTTTCTGAAATCGTAAGCATTCACTGAGATTCCTGGAGACTGCATTCTTAAACCGATTGAATACATATTAACTTCTTACAGTATTTAACTTCTCGTGGAGAAGCAACAGCCCACCATTCGCACATGTATTTGTGGATCAACTACTCATCAACGCACCACCTTTTTAGGATGTTGTTTGAATCCGCGTAATATTCGGCGTAGAACTGAGGAGGAGAATGTACGTTCACTGATAATCACTTTGAGTTACGTGAATAAGTTGTATTGAAATATAAGCCTGCTATTATAGGCTACCAAGTAAACCGAGCAATTCACAGCTAACTAGAATCAAGTAGCATTTGTTGTGGACACTGAAAGTGTGCAAACAGCAATGACACAAGGTACATATCAAACGACGAAAAAAAACTTCTCTGTATAGAACGTAGTTCGCTGAGACTAACGCATAGTAGGGAATCAATTTATAATTACTAAATATAGAAAAATTAATAAATTAAATATAATATATAGATTAATATAAATAGAACTTAAATATTTTTAAATATTTTTTTTATGATCAATTTAGAGTTTAAAACTTTAAATTCAGACAATAACATTTTTTTAAATGATAAATATCATAATATTTTTAAAGAAATTATAAATAAAAGAGTACATAATCTTGCATACTATTTATAAAGAAATTGAATTTATATATATATTAAAATATGCACTGATGTTATTTGAAGAATACATTAATACTATTTTAAATAAAAATGAAAAACAAGAATATCAAGAGCTATTACAGCATGAGGTTGATAAAATTATATTGAATGAGTGGAATTTTTAAATGATAATTGGAAAAAAAATTAAATAATTATAAACATAGAACTGAATTAAAAAATATAAAAGAAATTAATATTATAAAAAAAGAAATTTTAAATAAGTTAGGATATATATCTGTATTTTTTTTCTTAACTAAATTATATACCAATAAAGAGTACCCTTCCCCTTATTTTGAAAATGAAAAAGGATTATATTTAATCTATCACCTTATATTAGGAATTACTAGTAAAGATATAAAACAAAATATTCCCTATGCAAGTTATTATGCTTTTTATAAAAATTTTTGGATTGAAAATTACGATCATTTAAATAAATATGTCAATTTATGCTTACAAAATATGTTTAGTAATATTAAAATAAGAGTATATTCAGCTTTATTAAAAAACCCTAAAAATTTTAAGAATATAACATTATTATTGGATGGTCACGATAGTACAATTGATTATAGTAAACCTAATATTTCAAGTAAAAAAAGATGGTCATATAAATTAAAAACAGCTGGATTAAGTACACAGGTATTATCAGATATAAATAATATGGTTATTACAGTTTCAGATAGTGAATTATGTAGTGTGAGTAGTGATGGAGGTATGTTCCTAAATATGAAAATTTATAATAAAATTAATAAAAGGGATATTATTACTATTGATGGCGGTTATACATTATTTATAAATCAATTTGAAATATTATGTAAAAATAAAAATATAGAATTAAATGATTATAATTTCTTTTATCCAATTAGGAAAGAGCCTAATGAAAATTTAAATAAATAAGAAAAGCATTATAATGATATATTTAGTTCTTTTAGGTTAAGTATAGAAAATCAATCTTGTGAATTAGGAAAGACATTTAAAAGATTTTCAAATAATAATTCTACTTTAAAAACAGATGATTATAAATATGTTAATTTACAAATGAAAGTAGCATTTTTTTTAAAAAATATAAAAATATTTACAGAAACATATAATATTATAACACAAGATCATTATAAGTTATGGATAGAAAACAATTTTGAGTTTCCTACAGATAATAAATAAATTGATATAGTATTAAATAATGGAATAAAACAATTAGATAAAATAAAATATATGTCAGAAATACGAAAAAAAATTCGATGATTTAGATATAAATAATAATGAAATGATAATAGATAATGAAAATTTAGAAAATACTGAAAATATAATTGATAGTAATAATTATAATAATGAAATAGAAGAAGTTGATTTTCCCGCATATAAAAATATAAATAAGAAAAAGAGCAAAAAAAGGAAAAAGTGCTAGAAAAATAAATATAAATTTAATTAGAGATATAAATAAAAATAACAACTTTTATGTAATAGAAAACATATTAGAACATAAATTAAATGATAATGATTATATATTTTTAGTAAAGTGGAAGGACTATGATGAATCTCAAAATTCCTGGGTTAATGAAAAAGACTTTAACGAAAAAGATTTAATTATAAAATATTTTATAAAAAATAATATCAGATTTTAAATATTAAATTAAATGTTTTATTAATTATATTTAATTAATAAATAATTTCAAAATTAATACTAGTAATATAAATCTATATTTAATGATTAGTTCCCATAGCTCAAGAAAATGTTGCTGTACCTACTATTGTAGACGAAAATGCCTCTGTTGTTACTGATGACGAAGATACTGCTTCCGTTGTTGCCTTTGAAGATGAGGATTCTAATACTGAAGAGAACATAAATCCTCTTCCACCACAACTGACACGCGTTTGCCCCAGTTATGGATCACCTACCCACCAGCGCTCAACCTACCGTTCCTGCCCTTTTAATGTGCATAATGTCTAGTCTGAACACGGCGCCCAGTTTCAGATCGCATGCCATGTTCCCTTTCTACCTGAGTATGTTTTTGGTCCTAGCATCAACTACACACTAGGTGATTCGAATCACCGCCATGTTTTGCCACACATGGATAGGGCATGTTCCTTTTGCCATGCACTCATGTGGGTGGATGAAAGAGTCTCCCGTTCTTCTGTTTCGCGCCCTCAGTTTGGCATGTGCTGTAATCATGGCAACTTTCGCTTCCCTTCACCCCATCTATTACCTGCTGATCTTCGTGAATTGGTGTCGGATCACAGCCGTGATAATGAAGTTGTTGTCAATTTTCACAGTAATATCCGAGCCTACAACAACATGTTTGCTTTTGCATCCATCAAGGCAAACTATGACCGCAACTTGGCAGACGGCAGAAATGGTGTGTCGACGTATCGCATCAATGGTACACTATACCATCAAGTTGGATCCTTGCGGGCCGAGGATCACGCACAGTCCAAATTTGCCCAAATCTATTTCGCTGATACCCAAGAACAACTGGCACGCAGGACGACATTGTTTTCGGGCCTCGACCAGGGTATCATCGATCGTATCCAAACTGTCATGACCCGACACAATCCGTTTGCACGCACTCTGACATCTGCCGCCCAACGCCTTGGTGATCGTCCAATTGGATCACTAAGCGTCGTCATTCGTGGCGCATCGGATCTGGGACGCCGCTACGATCAACAAGCATATCCAGAGGTCGCAGCAATGGTTGTGGAAAATAGGGTGGATGGGTCAACCACACCACACGACATCGTCATCCATGACCGTACCTGAGGTTTGCAATATGTCAGCTCCCTCCACTCATCCTATCTTCCGCTTCACTATGTCCTGATGTATCTACTTGGTGACCATGGTTGGTTCGTGGGCATGCGGTGTGAAGGAGCGGATGGTAACATGTATACAGTGACATTGCTCGACTATTGTGCATATATGCTCATGGTTCGTGGTGGTGACAATGAGACTTTCGATCATCATTTTGGTCGATTGTTCCAACAATTGGTTGTCGACAATTATGCAAGAATTGAAGCATCTCGCCTGCTTTTCATTTCGTTGAATCAAGACACTTTGCGTTCCGAAATGTATGGTGGTATCGGTGATGGTGTAGATCCGCGCCAAGTCGGTCGTGCTGTGATTTTGCCGTCGTCGTTTACGGGTGGTCCGTGGTATATGAAGCAAATGCTTCAAGATGGCCTCGCAATTATTGCCAAAGAGGAACACCAACGCTATTCGTCACGTTTCGTGGAATCCCAAATGGCCAGAGATTCTTGCTGAGCTCCATCCTGGGCAAAAGGCATATGATCGTCCTACATCTGTTCCGCATATTCCATTTAAAGATTACCGAGTTGCTCAAGCATCATGTCAAGGAATCCAAGTGCTTTGGTCGTGTTGAGGGCTATGTCGCCACTGTCGAATTCCAGAAGCGAGGTTTACCTCATGTCCACATTCTGTTGATCCTGAACGAGCAAGACCGCCCTCACACGCCAACTGACTATGACCGATTTGTATCAGCTGAGTTACCAGACCCTGTGAGACAGCCGCAGCTGTACCATACAGTAACATCAAGCATGATACACGGTCCCTGTGGCAACGATAACCCCAATGCCGTCTGTATACAGAATGGTCGATGCTCCCAGGGCTATCCAAAGCCGTACAACAACGAGACTCGCGTAAATCGTGACGGTTACCCTCTATATAAAAGGGTTTTCAATCCCCAATGTCAGCACGTTTTTGAGCAATCGGGTTTCACTGTCACCAACCAACACGTCGTCCCTTATAACCCCTACCTCTGTCACAAGTACAACGCGCATATCAACGTCGAGATCTGTACCTCTGCTCGGGTGATCAAATACCTTTACAAGTACATCACCAAAG